CTCTATAAATTTATTTTTTCTTTAACGGTTCAGTATTTAGATTCTTTCTTTTTCCTTTTCTTTTTTTGTTCTTGGTGCTAGGGATTGAACCCAGGGTCTTGTGCACGCAAGGCAAGCACTCTACCAACCTAGCTATATCCCCAGCCTCAGTATTTAGTTTCAATGAGTTCCCTTTGGTCACCAACCTCCCTGAGAAGCAGTCATCTCATTTTGTGAGTCCTGTGCTGAGGAGTGGCACTGCAATTGCTACTGAGTTGGTTTTTCACAGGATGTATTTCTTGATACTATGTTGGTCTTGTTCTTCCCTGTCCAAGGGCTGGAGGTGGTGCATTAGGTAACAAGGAGCTCTTTTTAGACCTCCAAATATGTGAGACCTGGTGTATATTTACTATTGTTGTTTACAGGTCGTGGTCTTATCCCACACATGACAAGCTGGCAGGTAGTCTTTGCTGCAGAAGGGAGGAAGGGTGTTTAAACTCCCAGGTACATGTGACCTACTAACTTTTGAAATTTGTTGTTTGGGCTCTTCTCCAGGCCATGGAAGCCTCAGATTATATAGTAATGCTAGACTTGAAGCCTGAACACGTAGTAATTCAAGACAAGTAGCCCTTCCCAACTCTTCCTTTGGTGACCAGATTAACTCTATTAGAGGACTGTGTTATTAGCTATTTGAACACCACTGCTGGCAACGTAAGCTGTGTTTCCATCTGGGCCAGCCTGGTCCAGCCCATTCCGTTTTCCCCTAGGTTACCTATGATTTGAGAACCAAAGTGGATTTCCCTAAAGGCTACAGAGGCTGGGTGTCACACTCCCCTGTTCTTTTTTAATTTTTTTTCCTTGACACCTAGGTATTTCTGTGGGTTGAAGCTGTGCTGCTTTCGGGAGAGGGGGCAGAGAACACCATCCAAGCAGAACTATTTCTTATCCTGTCAGTGCTGATTTTTATTCAGCTCTGTGAAACACACAGTAGACACAGCCCTATTCCTATGCTTGAAGGTTTTCATCACGGTGTTATTTTCTGTTGGTAGTTGCTAATTTATCAATTGATGAAGAAGAGTGAAGACTGGGATTTTTTTACTCAGACATCTTGATGATGCCATTTCAAAAAAAATCTGCACAGAATTTTAAAAGCAAGTGCCAAGCCTAGGGTGCCTGTTTAATTCCATCATTCAAAGTTCCCACCGAAAATATCTATATTTTTTAAAAAACAGCTTTGTGCATCACATCAACATTTAATGGTACCTTTTTAAATTTTAACTATCATTTAAGGTATAAATTAATATATATAATTGTAGTTTTAAGTTCAAATCCCCAATAGATAATGATATATGTTTGTCATCTGTATATCTTCTTCAATGAAAAGTTTGTTCACATTTTTTTTGCCCATTTCCTAATTGTGTCATTTAGATTTTTTAATATTGGATTTTGAGAGAATTTTTGTTTTCTAGATACATGTATTTCCTTTAATACATGATTTGCACACATTTTTACAAATTTTGTGATTTGTGTTTTTCTCAGACCAAGAGTTTTCAATTTTAATTTTGAGGATGTGTATGTTTTTCTTCACTGATCATGTTATTGTTGTCAAACATATGGATTCCATTAGTTCTAGTTCCTGAAAATTTTCTGTTAGGGTATTTCTAAAAAGTGTAAATTTTGATTTTGTTAAGTTTTAATTAATATTTATAGAGTGGGGAAATTTTAAGTTAACATCTCATATTTTCTCTTTGAATTTCTAATTACTCTATAAAATATTTTTTTAAAAGTTATTAACCATCCAGTCAGTTATTTTTGCATTTTGTCAAAAAGTTAATTGGATATACTTGTATTGGTTACAGTAATCTACATAGTATTCCCTTGACCAATACTCCACTGATTTGATTATTGTAGCTCTATGGTCATTTTTAACAATGGAAAAAGAACATTATTCATATCTTTAAATTGCTGTGTCTATTTAGACTCTTGCTTTTTCATACATACTTAAGAATGAGCTTATTTATGTTTATAAAATATTTTCTTATAATTTTTATATAACAATATTAAATATGTACATCTATTTTGGAAGAGCTTATACTTCTACTATTAATGAATCTTTCAATTTACGAAGAAAACATATCTAGCCATTTATTTGGATCTTCTTTGGTTTTCTACTTCAGAATGTTGTAGTTTTTATGAGATACTCTACACATTTGGAAATTTTGTTTTCTATTCATTTTCTTTAGAGCAATTGTAAATGATGCTGTACTTTCTGTTTTGGTTTCCATTTGTTCAACGTTAATACATGTATATGCAATTGATTTTTTTTGTTGTATTTAGTAACATAATTGAATTTACTTTTATTACTGATGTTTTTGGTAAATTTGATCTAGATATATGTAAATATATACATATATATTCCTTATTTGTCAAGATAATAAGTTATTAAGTCAACAGCATGTAGAAAATGGCTAGTAATAGTAATTGACATTTCCAGCTTGCTCTTCCTCCTCCACAGTAAATACCACCTATGAGAAAACTGGTATGGTGAAAGGAAATGACCAAAAAAAGAGAATCATGCTTCTTTCCCCCTTTATCCCTACTGAGGAATTTAAACAATTTAAATTCATTTACAACAACTGAGTTGCTCACAAATGTGCATTTTGTTTCCTTTCCCTTCCCTATGGAAGCCAGGGAACCTCCCAGGAACCACAGTCCTCACCCGCAAAGGCCCTCACAGCAAACTGTCCTCCCAAGATGCAGCGAGCCAGGGCCCGGGGCTTTCCCGCGAGACTTGTGTCTGCCCAACGGTCTTCTTCCGCGGCTGTGCGCCCCTGCTCTGACCAGCCATGTTCCTTCTCTTTGCACTCTTTGCTGAGCTTGGAATGCTGCAGGCCAGCCGGGGTAAGCCATACCATGCCAGCTGCCCTGTTCCTTCTCCTTTCCTTCAGAGAAATGCCTGGCTCCTCCTGGGGAAAATTTTCCCGTAGTAGCTCTGATACCTGTCCACACCACTGTGTAGATTCCCTGCTGGTGCTTTTCTCCATATTACCCCACCCCACCCCCGACCAGGCCCTGCGAACCCAGCACCTTAGCCCTAACTCAGCAGCAGACACCTGCTACTCTTCCAGGGTCAGCTCACCTTGTGATGGAAGGTGCAGGTTGAATGTGCACTGCCCTCAGTTTAATCCTCAGAGTCCTGAAGGAAACTACTTTCAACGTGATTCTGAGAAGGAATACAAAGATCCTGTAGCACTGCAGTATCTAATTGTGTCTGAGCCACTTCCAAAGTGTCCTTGCAAATCCATTGCAAGCTCAGCATGAAAAGCGTGGGCACATAAAATTAGCAGTTTTAGACCTCAGGGTATGCTCTGGTTAAGAACACTTACTTGACTGAGACCATTTCTGATGAGAGGAAAAAAATAAAATACAACAAAAAAGCATGTTCTTATTGCAGATTCTGAAGGAATATTCCTGCATCTCACAGTGCCACAAAAGATAAGCTCAAATGAGAGTGAAGTTTCAGAG